AGAGGCGAAATAATTGTTAGTAATATGGTCTAATGACACCATTGTACCATTTTAGAATGAATTCCTGGTGTATTTGTCAGGATGGGCTAACTGACCTGACCTCGTGCTCATCTTATCATCCTTGAATGGTGCCCCGCCATCGTAAACCGTTAGCGCAGGCGGGTGCACAGTTCCATTATCATCCAGAAGCAAAAAAAATGTATATTTATCAGAGAATACGTATCATATTCTCGTAATTGTAGTTTGACTACGTAGTGCTTCTACTTTGTTATAAACCAGCTTTTGCCCGCGGCTTCGTTCGCGTTAATTTATCCCCTCACGGGTGGAATATATCAAAATCCTATTTTAGGGGATCTACGTCATAGTAGATTTATGCATGCAGTCTCAGCCCGATCGGTTTAAAATTGACAAAGTTTCATCCCCTTGGGGGTAGAATTAATCAAAATCCTTTCTTAGCGGATGCCTACGTCATAACATCTACCTGCATGCCAAATTTCAGCACGATCCGTTCAGTGGTTTGGGCTGTGCGTTGATAGATCACTATGTCAGTCAGTCACCTTTTAGTTATATATATTATATATATATAGATATAATAAAAAAAGTCATCCGTCATATTTTTCGTAACATTACATTAAACTGTTAATTTAAACAATTGCTTAATTTTAAAATTGAGTTAGTAATACCTAAGATTTTACGTTAATTTCAGTGCGTACCTATATCTACTCGAACTTTCATTAGATTTTCAACATTATATTAATTAATAGAATTTATACTTTGGCTCCAACATAATATGTTGGAGGGAATCTAAATTCAACAATTATTTAAATTATTATACCTGTTATGACATTTAGAATTCTGAGTTGCATGACCTTAATCGAATAAGTGAAAACTAAAATCTTTTACACACCTATTTTAATTACTCCAGTGTTTTGTTACTATACTAATTTTAATTATAAATGAATGGCAAACAGTATGATCGTAGGTGGAAACATTATAAATGCGAACAGCATCACAGACATCACATTGCTATGTAACACCTGTATTATCCATGCGTTGACATTCCTGTGATCCTAAGAGAGTATCGTGGTTCTATGCTTTATAAATAACCTCATTTTCAAATTAAAAAAAACGGCCAAAGGTAAATAATCTTAACAGTTGATTATATAAAATTTACCTAAAATTAAACCTTTTAGAGAAACGGGAATAGGAAGGCCATACGTTGTGCATGGCAACACTTTTTTTAAATTACATTATTAATTATCTGTTAATAAATACCTTTATATTACTGATGATTGAATATAATTAAAAAATAATTTTTAATCGTAAATATTGATTTTAATACTTTGTATTGATAATTATGCGTACATTTTTTTTGTAGGTAAAATAAATAAACAATATTAGATTGTAAATAGAATTTGTTAAATTATATTGTACAAAGTCCTTTTAAAATGGTGAATCAAAGGAAAATATGTTTAACGACAATTGTATTAATATTCGAATTAGTTATGATTCATGATTATATAAACATGTTTATCATTTCTTTTGTCTTCCTCTGTGATCATGCGGTTTAAGACACAACCTTAATTCCGATAGTCGCGGTTTTATTCATAAATATATTACTCTGTGGTCGAATAAAATTATTTTTTTTATGTCATACAAGTATTTGTACCAGTTGTTTAGTATCCATAGAATAAACACTGCTTAGTTTGGGATAAAATTGTGCAGTGTAAATTGTTGAAGATGATTTATATATTTTTTTAATTTATAATTTAGCTATGGTCTTATAAATTCTTTGTAGTATTTGTGTGTCTATTCCCTATTTTTTTTATGTTAAAACAATAATTCTTTATTTTGTAATTATAATATTATTGATTTTTTACTACGTATACTATAAATTAATGTGCTTATCAAGCACTAACTACTTAAATTCTAGTATTTGGTAATGACGAGATCATTAACTTTACTTAGAGTACTTATGTAAGGCTAAGGAAATGCACTGAAGTGTGTTACCGGCTCATTTGTCCACTTTATTAGGTACGACTTTTTGTTTATTTTTTATAAATTGTTTTTCTTTACATGTATTACAATAAAATGCACTAGAAGGCGCTGTAAGAAGTTGTCTACAGTTATTTATTAGGTCATATATTCATAACACCTTCGCATGATTTCTTTAGGGACATGTAGGTCCCGTAAGAGACTTATTTAGACGATTTCACGATTTTAGTATGAGTTTTTGTTCTCATTAGGTAGGTAGTTCCCAGTTTGAATGGAGATTTTTTAAGCTTTTGTTGTACATTTGCGTATATAGTGATGGGGATATTTCGTATGTACGTGTAACTATTAAAATTAACGGACTGTGGAAAAAATAGTCGGTAGACTACAGATCACTCGAAAATCGAAATTTAAATTTAAAACAATTTTCTTTTAATTATGAAAAGAAAATATGAGGTATGTATGAGGCTATTTTTTTTTCAATTTTCGAAAGGCCAGTATTTCTTCGAGTGCATTCAATGAAATTATTACTACACAATGTTTTCAACAACTCACTAGAAAGTTATCAACAACTTATATCTAAAACATTCTGTTTTTTTTCGCCGTCTCATTTCCAATGTCAAGATACACTTTAATAGTGTCGTTCGGATCAATTAAAGATTAATTTTCAACTATACTACGTACTTTGATATTAATTTCTAAACTGGTTTGTAAATCTTTGCAATTTGATATTATCAGATAATTCTACTGATTTTGCGAATTCTCGCTAAAGAAGGTTTGTTACAGAGATAGATAATAAATAACTTGAATCTGTTTCTTTGAAGACATAATCAATAACACAATTATTTTTAAAACCAAGATGGCGGTAATTCTATATATAATAGGATGATAATGAATTCTATTTCATTCAACAATTGTAACCGGCTGAATCACCACCAATTTCCAGTAATACCTAGATAAAAATATGACGTATATAATATACGTAATATTTGTATGTAATATAGTACCAATCCCATCAATTAACTCTTAATTTTCTGATTAATTAATGCCTGTCCATTTACTACAGGCTAAGGCAAAGATCTAAAAGTCTATAATAAATGTCATATGATTATCGATTTTTATTTATCGATTTAAATATTCTTTAATATTAACTTTTCTTGAATTTCAGATAATCTAAACCTGGGCTTATATCATGTGATGCACTTTTGAGAATGTCTTCATTTTATTGTACCAACCATAGACTCAAAATAACATAGACTAATACATAGACCATAACAAACATTACTCCATCTACAAGACTAATGCCCATGAGCCTATGGACAGACAAGCTCTGAAATGTCTATACACTTATATATAAAGGCTCTTGAACACGATCAAACAATTATTAATATCAAATAGACGTTGCTTCGAATGAAACCATTCTAAATTGGACATTTAACAAGTTTGAAGAATTTTTTATATTTGATAATAAACTTTAGTGTCGAATAAGTTTCTGTCTTTATTGTAGTCTGTAGAGTTAATAATGTTAGATCAATTATTAAATAATTCTACAAAATTGTGTTATTTTGATATTACAATATAACTACAGTACATTGCCATAATACGATAATATAATCCTCCATGACAAAATTTAAAAATAGAATTCTTGTTTTCTTTTACAACAAAAAATAGTACTATTAATTAAAAACGGTATTTTTTTTACTCTTCTAATGCTGTTGACCACAGCTGGCCTTACAGCTTCGGACGATAGGGGGCGAGTGCAGATGGCACTCCAAACCAAAGGAAGGACTTATGAATGAAGCGGCTGAAGGCCAACTCCTGCCTGACGGATATGGCATTAGTCTGAGGGCATTGCTATTCGAACCTTGGCTCGAGCCTTAGTAATTTCGATCCCCATTTGAATTGGACGGGGGATCGATCGGAGGGATCGTTCCGGAGTATGCAACTAGTGTATGTATGTACTCACACTCAATACACTATCATTCATCCATTCATAATGTCGTAAGTCTAGGCGATCTACTCTAGAAACCAATTCCGATCGATTGACATTGTTTTGTTTTAGCTTACAACATTTTTTTTAATTGCGAACCAGTGATGTCCCTATATCGCGTTCATTGCATTAAATAACCGATATTTTACAACAACAACAAATTTACGGTAAATTACGTTTCAGGAATATGTACGTATAAAATCACTCTGAAGTCTAATCTCAATAGTTTGTAATACAATCCAATTTTAAAACTGTCCTTTGGGTGTCCCGCTCTTCTAAGTATGCTGTGGACTTAGTATGACCCATAAAATGACTTACTTGATTGACTGATCTCATACTTACCTGCCTGGAGGAAGAAGTTGTTGTAATGTGGACTAATAATCCTATTGCTAGCAATGTTCCATATCAGGTTCACGTAAGCGTAGTTAAAAACCATCACCATAAATTCATGGTGAATTTACCACGATGAGCTAACTGATCTGACCTATTTCTCATCTTATCATCCTCCACTGGTGTCCCGCCAGTGTAAACCGTTAGCGCAGGCGGGTGCACCATTCCATTATCATCCATAAGATACATACCTGCCTATTCTAAGCGCCTTTGGAATTATATTAAGACTAATAAATCAATAATAATATCAGTTACCATGATTATAAAATAAGGAATTAAAAAGTTGTTATTAAGAACTTAATTAAAACAACAAATCTAATGTAATTAGAATTGAAATTAGTTGTGTAGGACCGAGTGAAAAGAATTGATACACTTAATACTGAGATGAGATTCAAGAATATACCTATAGGGAACCGTCTTTATACATGCTTTTCAGAAATGTATGTATAAGATAAAAAAAATCTACTAGCAAGTAATATGACAATCGTGGTTATACTAGTCCAAAGTTTCTCTTAAGATGATAAGGAGAAAACGGTATACTATGATGATAATATTAATTTCAGACGTAAACAATTATAAAAATAATAATACTTAATAATAGAAAATTTATTTTATTGTACTAGGTAACATTTTGCGGAAGTACATTTCATTACTCAATTGATTTATATTATTTTGTTTAATTCCGCTACCATAGTGTAATATTCTAGCGGAATGAAACAAAATAAAATAAATCCATTCAGTAATGAAATAGATTTCCGCATAATATCACCTAATACAATGGAATATGTTTTAAAATTAAACAAACTATTGGTCTATTAAATTATAACTTCAATTCTGAATGATGGCTTACGCGGAATTAAACAAAATAATATAAATCTATTGAGTAATGAAATGGATTACCGCAAAATGTTATCTAATACAATGAAATACGTTTTAAAATTAAACAAACGGTCGATTGATAACTTCCATTCTAAATGACGGCTTCCGGCCGATCGGCTTCATAGCGAGCCGTCCAGTTCGAGTGTCCAATATTTCTTCATCGCTGCTGGAGTCATCGAAACGGCCGGACATTCGGATCTCACCTTCGGAATCTGACGCCTGTAAGGTAATATAGAAATTCAATTAATGATAATAATATCTCAGGACAGCTCACACAGCGCCATCTAGTTCCAAACTAAGCAGTGCTTGTTTTATTTGTGATATAATTATAATATCCCTGGGGGCGTATTATGAACTCTTATTCCCATTCAGTTTACGGCTTAAACTGAACTGCCTGGAAACTGACTGGGTTTTAAAGAGTTCATAATACGCCCCCTGGTCAATTTACACAACGTCATTTCGTCCCAATGTAAGCAGAGCTTATGGTACGGGTACTAGACAGCTGATATAAATATTTGGATTTTTTTGTAAATACATACATAATATATATAAAAACACCCAGATCAATACAAACAATCGTACCCATAAATTCAAATGTTTGCATCATGAGAGGATTCGATCCCGTGACCATCGGAAGTACGGTGTGCTAATTTGCTAAACCGCTAGATCATCGAGACCGTCATATTTACACACCTTTTCTTAATTGAAAGCATTCATTGAATCATTTTTTGATCTTGTATTGTATTATGGAGTAGTTTTTTTTAGATTTTTAATATTTTTTTAGAAATTAGTACAAGCTCACGAATCACCATTTATTCCTATCGAGGGTCGAGGTAAGATAATGCAATTATAGGATAAAAGGCATGACATCCTAGTCCTCTAGAATGGTAATGCAATATATATTTGATGGCCTTGGCCAGCAGTTTAGCACAACGCCATGTTTCCGATGTTCGCAGATTCTTTTCTTCGCACGGTACAAGCATTTGTTTTCATTTATATTAAAGATTGCAGATGTATATACAAACAAATGCATCCAAGTATTTGTATCAGTTATTTAATACCCAGGCTCTGATTTGATTGGGTCTAAACCGTGCTGTGTGAATTGTCCACGGTCATTTTTTTTTAGAACATTTACCTTTTTATTTCTAAAAACGTCAAATTTCATGTAAGCCTATTTTATTTATAGGATGTAGCAAACTCCTTGATAGGTTTTTTACTATTTTTAAATTTTATAATAATATTCTTTGACATATTCTTTATTGTTCACTTTCTATTATATATCGCTGTCATACTAGTCGCATTTTATTTAATCTCCGTATTTTCCTCATTAAAACCCTCAGCACCTCTCACTCATCAGACACATTTGATACCTCCGCTTCATTTTGGTCCTTCTATTCTTCTTCTATTATATTTACAGCGCACCTATTTTTTATAGTTCATTTTTCGTAGTTATAGGTATCAGTATTGATTTTCATTGTATTTTCTCATTACATATAAAAACCTATCAACGAGTTCGCTACATAGGAGTTAAATAGTTCCAGCCTACTACACTCCACTAAAAATTAAAAAGTGATCGAAAAAGATTTTAGTAGCTAACTGTTATGATCGTCCCTATGGATTTATCTTTGTCTATGGGTGACTCAATAACGGTCGGAATTTGATCGCCATTAGTGAAGGTTTGCGCACTAAATTATATTTATGGTCTCACACAATAATTGAATAGGAATTAAACAAAATAATATAAGTCCACTAAGTAGTGAAATGGACTTGAAAATTTACAAATGGGCTTAAAAAAATAAATGGACGATTGTAACCCTTATTAAATAGGTTTTTAACACTAAATTCCCAGATACACTAATACTAAAGGAAGACAAATAGAGCATGCATTATAGAAATCGCACCTTCACTTAAATAACACTATAACAAATTAAAAATCCATACTTTAATGTTTCTCTTTTCGAGCGTTAGAACAAAACAAATTTTATATTCACATAAATCTGTTCGTGTTACATACATTATATGCATAGAAAACACCGAGACCGATACAAACAATTATTTTTTACTCATGAATACAAATGTTTGTACCGTGCGAGGAAGCGAACCTGCGACCATCGGAAGTAAAGCAGTGTCTAAACCGTCAGACCACCGAGACCAAATGCACTAGCAGTTAATCTGACCATTAGAACTTGAACCTGAACTGTATATAAAGTAATAACTAATTACTTAAATTTACTAATTGCTTTGTAAGTTTAAGTAAATAAAAATATCTGGGCTAAACACGTCTATTTTGTTATTAAATCAAAATAGACTTATTGTAGTTATCATATTTTAAATGACATCAAAGAAATGAAGATAATAAAATGTATTGAATGTAATTGAACATTATTTGAGCGGAGGTGCAAAATATTTGTACTAGCGAAGGAAAACAAACATTTATTTCTTCGGGCGACTGCGAGCGATGCTGGTAGGTAGACGTCTGGGCCTCTCGTCAGCGCTGTCCACACCCTATAGGGTAATTATATATATAACATGAACTGTACATAAATATATATAACATTTACGGGATACACTAAATGTAGCAATATTTATATTTGGAAAACTAGCAACACTACATTAAGAAGGACTTGTATCCAGAATCGTAAAACATAATAAATAAAAAAAATAGTCTACCTTGTATAGACAGCTTTAGTAACTTAGTTGATTGGCGAATAATTTAGTAATAAAAATAATCTTATATAAACTGCGTAGTCCATTTGCTCAATTCATATGGCTGGGATATGGACTCGTAATTCAAGCCAGGATGCATAATGAATACTTACTAGGAGTTATTATAAATTACGCCGAATAACAATAATAAATTCTTCATCGGATTAAACTTATATACTCATAGATACAAATGATTAAAATATTATCATTCCATGAAGTAGTTATTACATTATTATAACGTATTATTTTCTTGAAAGAATTTTTAATTTTGTTATATTAATTGAAATTTTATAATATAGGCATTATATAGTTAAATTGCTTATTATTTATTTTTGCTTTTGAATGAATATAAAAACAATTTTATAATTGTACTGTATTACTTTGAGAATTAAATATTTTAAATTATATTTAAATATAGTTGTTTAAGATGTAATAATTTTATACGTGTAATTTTAGTAGACATGTATCATTCCTAAATGAAATGTAATATAAAAAAAGATATAAACTTTTGTAAAATTACTTCATTATATGAAGTACGTGGTTTCGCGTAGTATCGTTTTATTGACTAATAAAGTTTATTATTATTATTATTTATTATATTCTATTCAATTACTTGTGAATCACAGATGCTTACGTCAAAATCTCCGATAGTGAACTTGGTGGCGGCTGCCTCTGCAACCAGTTGTGCGGGAGCAGGTGGCGCGTTCTCCGGAGATAGGACCTGTTTAGTATTTAGCAAGCGGGCTGAGCACATGTAAACGGTCACACAGGTTAGGGGTCATCCATAATAATAATAATAAACTCAGGACAACTCTTCAAGCGCCATCTAGACCCAAGTTAAGCTAGCTAAAACTTGTGTTATGGGTACTAGATAAATGATAAATACATGTTTTTTTTTGGAAATACATACATATTATACATAGAAAACACCTATTGATACAAACAATCATACTCATGAATACAAATGTTTGTGCCGTGCGAGGAATCGAACCCGCGACCATCGGAAGTATGGCGGTATGCTAAACCGCTAGACCACCGAGGCCGTCAATGCACAACTAGCCACATTTAAATAGTTAAAATTTCGTTAGTTCTAAAATAGTAATGTGACATTACAAAATGTAGGACTCTTCCCAGGGCTAGGAGGAGATGTTATATGATTTTTTACACGAAGTTTGTGACTGCTCCAATTTTTTTATAAAATGTTATACTTTATTCTCCCCCTAAACGTGTAACATTGTAATATGACATTACAAAATGTAAGACTATCTCAGGACTAGGAGGAGCTGTTACATGATTTTTTACACGAAATTTATGACTGCTCCTTTTTTTTATACAATATTATAATTTGTTATCTTCCTCCTAAAAGTGTAACATTGTAATATGACATTACAAATTGTAAGACTATCCCAGGACTAGGAGGAGCTGTTACATGATGTTTTTACACGAAGTTTGTGACTGCTCCTAGTTTTTAATACAATGTTATACTTTGTTACCTCCCCCTAAACGTGTAATATGACATTACAAAATGTAAGACTCTTCCCAGGGCTAGGAGGAGATGTTACATGATTTTTTTACACACTAAGTTACTGACTGCTCCAATATTTTTATACAATGTTATACTTTGTTACCTCCCCCCCCACTCCCCAAATGTGTAACGCTATATATGGATGTCCCCTTTTAAGTAAAATACAACCTTTAACCCATCTAGCTGTCTTTAGTGTCTACTGTATTTATATGGATTGGATATAGGATTATCTGCAACTGTAAAGGTAACATATATGGATACTTTTGAGACATTCCTCGACTATACAAAACAAATACTAGCTACTACGAAAAGACTAGCATTACATAATTTTCATCACACATATTGACACAAACTTGTAAACCTTATGTCGTACTATGTATTGTCTATATTTATGAACATGTAATTGTGTTTGATCGATATATCGTTTATTTGTTTATTAGTAATAAACAAATAAACGATATATCGATCTATCCTTAATACCTACATTATGTTGCCATTCCTCAGAACTATGATATTATACATGTACGCTATTATTTCACTCTCATATAGCACTTTTTAAGCCGGAATACAGCTTACAAAGCAAGTTGTTATCAGCAGAATTAGGGAAGATAGATGTAGTTATGCAGTTAACTTTATATATAGTATGTATTTTGTTTATTTAGAGCGTTAAGTATGCAACACCATTGCTAACAATTCTTAATTGAAAACGGATTAATCATAGAAATAGAAATAATCTTACAAAGAAATACATTATCATAGCATACACACACCTTATCAGAAGCACCAACAGCCACATTAACGCACGCAGTAGGTAGGCATTACAGCCCAGACAAAGCTGAGTGGAATTCAATTTGGTCGCAACTGTATTTTTAAAATAATGCTTTATAATTTTTGTAATATTTTGTATGCGCCAAATAAATATATTTTTCTTTCTTTCTTTCTTCTTTCTTTCTTTCTAACGTACTATTAGTTTTGTACATTTATCTTAACAATTTATTATCTTCTTGAATAAATATATGTGAACTAAAATACTTACATCCTGATCACTCATCATCTCCTTCGTGGAGACAGTGGTCTCGATCCTCCTGATAGATCCCTGGTGGATGTCTACATCGAAGGCGAGGCACTGGAACCGTCTGAGGAGCAGCACTACCGGTATTGGCAACACTCCAGCCAGGATCATGACAACGGCGATACCCAAAACCCAATCCGGGTAGCTCTTCTTCACTGTGTGACCCTGGAACAATGTTGTCGAGTTAGAAAGCACCTTACTAATACTATAACGCGGAAGTTTGTGAGTATGGATGGTTGGATGGTTGTTACTCCTTAACGCAAACTACCGCATGGTTTGTAATGAAACTGTACAATAATATAGCTTATATGTCAGAATAACACATAGACTATAAATTTCACGAAGGTGGATCGACGGGTACAGTTAGTTTATCATAATAATATCTCAGGACAATTCACACAGTGCCATCTAGTCCCAAGTTAGGCTAGCTAGACTTTGTGTTATGGGTACTAACTAGATCACTGATACAAATACACCTGTATCTTTTTTTGTAAATACATAAATATTATACATAGAAAACACCCAGATCGATACAAACAATCATAAGAATTATCATAGAAAAAATTCTAAGAAATCTATATTTTACTTCTAAAATCAACTCCCAATCCGAACAGAAAAATGAGCCTAATATTACGCCCTTAAATAATTTTTAGATGAATCGCTCAAAATGGAATAATCTCTATTAATTGCAAAAAAGAATCATGGTAATCCGTTATATTATTACTCCATTATCATATAGATTATTACGCAAGAATAGAAAAACATTTTTGGATATAAAGATTTAAAATTTCTAGAAATTTTACTGTTTTCTATCTGAAGTTTATTGGTATATCTCGACAGTTATTAAAGATACCATACCATGAACAAAAAAATAGATCACTAAAACAATTGTTTAGCAAACATCATTAGTGCGTAATAACGGGTAAATATCTTGCCCACTCTACGAGTAATTCCCTCTCCGATAAATATGTAATACATACAGAACCTATGAGTGCAGACCACAGATTACATAATATATAAAGTACAGACTGTCCAATCCATATATACTACACACTGCACTTTACTACCTTCACTCAACATGCATCGAAATGAGTTTTCAGAATTAGAATTTGATTTTCCCATTTAGCTTTGATGTTATAAACTGTTCAAATTGATCTATTTTAAAATATAGTGGTAGACATATCATTAGAAAGCGTTGTGTCCTAGATTTATTTATTCTAAACTAGCTATTCGCTCCTCGCACAATTATACATGTATATACATAAACTTTTCCCTTGAAAGACTATCTTTTGTTAAAAAACGTATTAAAATCCGTTGCGTAGTTTAAAAGATCTAAGCGAACAGACAGCGGAAACGGCTTCATTTTATACTAATTTAAGATTTTACCAATTATGAGTTCAAATATAAAAAAAATATCATTTAATATTTCTGAGTGACATTTAAGATTTTACCAATTATGAGTTTAAATATAAAAAAAATATCATTTGATATTTCTGAGTGACACTTCGGTGAAACTCCGCTTTCAAACTAAAAATTAATTAAGAGACGTTGGTAAGCTCGACCGCTGTCACGGTGAGTTTAAATATATTGAGCGAAATGTATAATACTGACAATTGACAATGCTCCTGGCTGCCAAAAAGCCCTTAGGTAGATCCGCCCCTGCTAATGAATATGGCTGGTTTTAAACGCACACATACAAGAAAAAAAAATATAAAAATTATGTTTATGTTAAAAACGACCAAAAAGATATTATTATTAGTAATATTTTACTTTTGCTTGAATATTGATGTTTTTAAACTAAAGCATTTATGTAGTATAAACTCAACCTTCTGTATGGATATACTCTATAGCTTGTAAACATGCGTCAGTCTGAATCACTTGGCGATGGTCAAGTGCTTTGCAAATCAGTACGAATCGAACTCTTCAACATGATGTTGAGTGTATTGTTTATTCTGTTGCTACATCAAGTGGTGTGTGATGTTGTGATGACGAATCGTGGACCTGTCAAGGGGCAGAAGGGGGACGATGGGAGTTTCAGATATTTAGGTATACCGTATGCTTTGGTGGACGAGAAACACCCTTTTGGAGTAAGTACCTGTAGTGTGTTTAGGGCTTATAAAAAAGACGTAGTTATCTATGGTCTTCTAACTGCTCGTTCTATTGGAGATGATGTAGTTATAATCTTTTGAATGCTCTCTAGATGGTGGTGAAAATTATTTTATTCTAAGCTTGTTTATGAATTAAATGTAATATATTAAAAAATATATAATCGTTTATATCAACCAAACACCAAAAAAGACGAAAGTATCCTTGAATAGGACTAAGCGAATCCTGTAGCGCTACTCGCATGAACTACAGCCCGGATCTCGATAACGAGTAATTTCGTTATAATGGGTTTGCATACATGAAAGACAGTGTTTAGCATATTTTTCATTCTCTAAAATACAATTACAATCTCTATATCTCCACGGACATAAGCAAATAAAATCTCTCTCATCTTTGCAAACTACTGTTGGAACACAACAACAAATTGCTAAAAGCTAGATAATAACCTCTTTTGAAGAGTATCTATTATTTCTGTATGAAACGGTCTGAATCTCTTATAAGAATTTAACCCATTTTTTACAGAAATCACTGGATCATCCAAAATTTGAAACTGTTTTTAACGCAGCTGTATCTTCTATAATGTGTCCCCAAGTTCGGGGAATCGAAGGGGGCGTCCTACAATGTTTGCGTTTGAATATATTTGTACCAAAGATTGCCAGCGTTGATCGACCAGTGCCTGTATTAGTTTGGTTTCACGGCGGAGGCTTTATTACTGGCAGTGGAGGCGAATATGATGGCAAATATTTGATCCAACATGGTATTATAGTTGTCACTATTAACTATAGATTGGGTCCATATGGATTTTTCTGTTTAAAAGACCCAGAAGTACCAGGCAACCAGGGTTTGAAAGATCAAGTCACAGCTTTAAGATGGGTGAAGGAAAATATTCGTAGGTTCGGTGGAAATCCTGATGAGGTTACAATTGCTGGGCAAAGTTACGGAGGAGGCGCGGTTGATTTACATTTATATTCGAAAAACGAAAGGCTATTTAGTAAGGCTATAATTCAGAGTGGAAGCGCTGAAGTACCAGGCATGTATGTAAAGCCTGATTATCATGCTGCTATAAAATTGATCAATCATCTAGGTTACAACACAACAAGCACAAAGGATGCTTTGAAACATTTAGCCGCAGTAGATCCTATAGCTCTAATGAAAGCGGCCGATGATATTAAATTTCAACCACGAGTTTGTAAAGAAAAGCGTTCGGTAGGAACTCAACATTTCATTATAGACGATCCTTTCCACTTGTACAATTCTGAGATAATTAAAGACACACCCATTCTTATTGGTTATAATAGCAAAGAAGATTTTAGCAATTTCGTAAATAAATCTAACAAATTCTATTCTAATTTGGATACTATATTTTATGATAAATTAAAAAGCAACTTTAATATCGAAGAAGATGAGTTGAAAACTCTTGCAAAAGTCATTCATACCTTTTATATGGGTAGTAAGAAATTTTCTAAAACCTCAATGTTGGAACTAGCGGATTTCTCATCTGATTTTATTCTCAATCATGCAGCAGAACGTTCTGTGAATAGATTTATGAACCAGAAAGCTTTGAAGGTATACAAATATATATTTTCTTATATTGGAGGCAGTGTTTTTAAAGATGTGCCAGGTGTTGGAGCATACCATACGGAGGAGTTACCGTATCTTTTCGATCGTAAGACCATGTTTAATGAGGAACAGAAACTAATTAGAGACAGGATGACAAAAATGTGGGCGAATTTCGTGAAAAATGGGTAAGTTCTCCCGATATTCTGTAACGTTTTCTACATCTGCCTGTAAAAAGCAGGAGTCTCTCGATATCTCTGCCTGTAAAAGATGAGTTGGAAGGGAATAACATCGGGACGTAGTTGTTAACTCTCGCGAATTGTAGAGTTCTATAGTCGTTTTTCTATGTAATTGGAATCGCAAACAAGCTGACGGCCCCTTTGGTCCGACGTAATACCTTCATAGTAGTAAGACGTAAGCAAGACGTAATATCATAATCCTCCCGAATCTTTCGCGAAATCTGGGTGAAATTAAAAACATTATGTACTTAGTGATAAAAATTACTACTAAAAAAACAACACAGTATAATCCGAGTGAATAACAAACTAAAATTTTATTTTAAACGGTCGAATTACAATATACGACGTAAGATCTTAGTCATCTAAATAGCAACACATGTCTAATCGACGATGTCGAAATCGATAATGTATAAACGACGGTTATCACTTAACAGCATTGCCCTTCCGATTAATCCCCCGTCCAATTTAAATGAGGATTGATATTATGACGGCCTCAGACAATATTCGAACCTCTAGCGGTGCCCTCAGACTAAAGTAATACTCGCAGGTGGGAAGCCTTCAGCTTCTCTTAAGTCCTTCCACGGGTTTGGAGTGTCATCTACCCGCCCCGTCGGGGGGCGGGGACGCTGGGGCGACCCCTATCGTCTGGTAAAGCTGTATAAGCCAGCTGCGGCCAACAGTATTAGAGTATTTTAAAAGATTACGATCATTTCGACCGTCAGTTTGTTTGCCGTTTGAATTATAAAACAAAATTAAAATGCCTAAATAACATTATACACGACTCTCCCAAGTTAATATTATAAGTGTAATATGCTTATTGGCTTTACTTAATAAGTATTATAACTGTACGATTGTTTGTAAAATTAAGGAGTCTAAACACAATTCACACAACGCCATCTAGTCCCAAGTTAAGCTAGCTAAAGCTTATGTTATTGATACTAGATAACTGATAAATACATAGATTTTTTTTCGTAAATACATATATATTATATATAGAAAACACCCAGCCCGCTACAAATAATCATACTCATGAAAACAAATGTTTGTGTCACGCGAGGAATCGAACCTGCGACTATTGGAAGTAAAGCGGTGAGCTAAAAGGTAGACCACCGAGGCCGTTAAAAGTATAAAGTTTGGTTTTTGGTTTGGTATTGTTAATTATTTATAATGGCTCAATTAGTACTTAAATTATAGCAAATGATAAGAGCTGTAGCAAACATGTTTATTTTCCTTATTCAATAAGTTTTATTATTTAAATATCACTTTATTATTACCAATATATGCTCACTGTTTATAACTGTTTTATTGAATTTGGACTGGCTTTATTATTAAATAATAATATAATAGTTATTACATTGTTAGAATATTTAATGAATAGTTAGTATAACCACAGATAATATATGGTATAACGAACATGAACAACATTACTGTATTGGTACATGGTTAGTTTATCATTTTTGTAAAAAAAAAAAGAAAATTTTTGGCAACTACATATATTTATATATGATAATAAAAAAAAGAATATTGGCAAGTTCTATATGCACTCCAAATAAAAACTTTCTGTGAGCAGAACTTCACCCGCATACAATTTATAGTCTATATGTTATTATGATAGCTATATTACTGTAAAGTTTCATAGTTGCGTGAAAGAATAACAAACATCCATCAATACTCATAAACTTTCGCGTTTATAATATTAATTAATAATAAGATTGTATTTACAGGAATCCAACTCCAAAAGTGACTAAGTTACTCCCGGTACATTGGAGTCCGGTGAACGAGTCGAGGCCGTATATGAACATAGATGTCAACATGGAAATGAGAAATTACGTTTACCGCGAGAGGATGGCGTTATGGGATCTTTTCTGGCATAATTATTGGAAAGTCGCTATTGTAACTGATAAAAGACGGAAACTTTAACATGTAACTTAAGTTATATTAAAGTTTATAATATCTATAACATTTGTAGTCGATGGTCATAACTTACTCTGTGCATTTTCCGTCTCTTTTAATATTTATAAAACAGACTTAATAAACTATACATAGTTATTGTACTATTTGTAACTATTTTTGGGTGAGTTTATGTGTAACATTTACAGCCGATGATCATAATGTATGCTTTGAATTTGACAAAATTAGTCTGTTTTATAAAAGTATGTAGCTTATTAAACTTGACATAGTTATTGCAGTATTATGGCTGTTTTTGGTCGAGATTATCTGTAACATTTGTAGTCGATGGTCATAAAGTACTCTGTGTATTTTACAAAATTGGAGCCTGTTTTGCATGTAAGTTATTAAACTTGACATAGTTATTGTAGTATTTGTAACTCTTTTTTTTGTCGAGACTATCTGTAACGTTTGTAGACGATGGTTGTAAGATACTCTGTACATGTGAAATTGCTATTTTTTTAAATTAATGTTTAAAAACAGTATAATTGTATTGCACTAAAATAATGCTTTTACCTTTTAATTTTACTGCCTAATATCCCCAAAAACTGACACATAATGTTTGTAACAAGGAAATATAGCACTGAGGTGGAAACACAGACAACTTTTTAGCCCACCTCTAGTATCTAAAAACGTAGTAAAATAAAAAAGAATCGCATCTAACCTCTGCGGCATCCCAAGCGCTGTATTCAGGCGGCGAGATGAACATGGAAACAACAGATGATATGAGGATGCCGGTGACGATGAAGGGCCCCACGTAACGCCAGGTCACCTGCCAGTAGATCCCGGGACGGTAGCCGGTCATCTCGTAGATGTCGTTTGTGAATCTAACAATAGAAGTTATTAACTTTATATGAATATAGACCATATTAACAGAAATATAGAAAATTTTTTTGCTTGAACATTGCTTTTCTTTACAGGTCTTGCAATCAGATAGATAATAAATGTTCCCCTCCTATTCAGGAGGTATGGAAATTAGAGGTTTTTTAATAATTACCAGCTAAATGGAGCTTGTATTGTGGGTAGGTACTAGACAACTGATATAATTATATAGATATTTTTTTTTGTAAATACACATACACAATATATATAGTACACACTTATACCAATACAAACAATCATACTCAGGAATCGAACCGACGACTATCGGAACTAAGACGGTGTGCTAAATCGCTGGACCATCTAGGCCATATATAGCCACCAGCTTAGCTTATCCACCACCGTATATCACAATACGGATATATCTAATAGAATAGAATAGAAAAACATTTATTCAAATAAACTTAATTTAAACACTTTTGAATAGTCATAACAATTTTATCTACCGCTCATTCGGAAAGCTGTCTCATCACAAGAATAACGAGCAAGAAACTTGTGTTGCTCTTTTAAATAATCCTTGTAAGTTCACATTTACAAGTCGAAACGTGTGACAAACTACCAACCAGCACTAATATATTAGGGTCAAATATAAATATACAATAATATTAAATTAGTCGTAGTGATAAGAACAGACCAGTCCCTACAAGCAGTACTCGTTCACGAGCATGACGGATGAGCCAGCCATCACTGCGCTGACCATATTTTAGGGAGCCCAATGACCCGGCCCACCACGCCGCCACATGTCTGGACATTTTAGTGAGCATAACTACTCATTCCACTCGACCACGTCACAGCTACATCAATGTTATATTTTCATTCATTATTATCATCCATGAAAAAAAAACACAATTGGAGTGTAGAGTTTGGTAAGCCACAACAATGTACATTTTTATAATAGGAAGATGGAGTAACTTTAAAAAGAATAATAATTTTCAACTTTTATAATAATATAGTCACCTCTCATGACCATATACGTAGATAACAGCAATCATTTCGAGCAGCGCGACGACCACCAGGCCGATGGTGCCGGCGAAAGAGTCGAACATCTTGAGCCAGTACTCGCCCGCGCCCGTCGTGAAGATCATGCCCACAGAGAAGCAGAACAGGCAGACCACACCTGTGGAACAATATTTATCTTATATATAAAATTCTCGTGTCACAGTTTCCGTTCCCATACTCCTCCGAAACGGCTTGACCGATTCTCATGAAATTTTGTGAGCGTATTGAGTAGGTCTGAGAATCGGCCAACATCTATTTTTCTAAATGTTAGGGGTAGTCCACTCCTAATTTTTTTTTTATTTTAAGGCAAAACAACGTTTGCCGGGACAGCTAGTAATCTATATATTAATACATGAAGAAAACACACACACTTACAGTTTAAGGAGTGTAAAATGCTATTATTTTCTTAAAATTATGTATAAAAATATGTGCCTATATATCTATATATATAAATAAAATTTGAGTGTCTGTTTGTAATATTAAAATAACCGTTTTTTTAGTACATATGAATATAAATACGGTATGTACACCAAAATAACGTTTTTTACAATTTTTGTCTGTCTGTCTGTTTGTTCCGGCTAATCTCTGAAATGGCTGGACCGATTTTGACGGAACTTTTATTGGCAGGTAGTTGATGTAATAAGGAGTAACTTAGGCTACTTTTATTTCTAAAAAAATCTTGTATTTTAGATAAATAAAGTTATATTCCACGCGGACGAAGTTGCGATTATAGTTAGTTTATAATATTTCTGTCAACCCTTGATACCCTTCCATTAGTACCTCTCCAGATAACATAGATTTAAGTTCACTATAAAGTCAGTCCACATTCCGACCCCGCGTCAATGTGCTACTAAGCCACTTAGTTAATTCCAAAATTTATTTAAATATAAATAAACTATTTTAAAAATGATAAAGTGAGTGCTATCACGAACATTTAATTATTTTTTTAATATACTGTACGAAAACCTGTTATCATAGGTTTGGTGAGTCTTTTGAAGAAATCAATATCGAAGATGCAGGCCAGCATCCCCTCCATGATTCCGATCTGGCTGCCCAGCCCGAGTGAGAGCAGCATCAAGAAGAACGTGATCGACCAGAAAGGCGCTGGAGTCAGCTTTAGGATCGCTTGTGTGAACACTATGAAGGCTAGACCAGTGCCTTCAGCTGCCTGTGAAGAATTCAATATTGTTTTTATAACTGAAAACATAAAGAGGGGAACGGGAAGAAAATTTGTATAGAGATATCTTTATATATGCGACATAAAGAAGCAAGCATTTAAAATCAGTCAGTTTGTTTATCCAATAAAAAAACATAGATGTATCTATATACACACAGGGAAGTGAATTAGTAATGTGGACTAAAAACCCTATTGCTACCATGTCAGATTGACTTCCACGCGATTCAAGAAGTAATAATAAAATTATTTAAAAGAGCAACACGCAAGTTTCTTGCTCGTTCTTCTTGTGATGAGACAGCTTTCCGAACGAGCGGTAGATTAAAAAAAAATGTAATGACTATTCAAAAGTGCTTCAATGTAAGTTTATTTGAATAAATGATTTTCTATTCTATTCTATTCTATTCCCCTGGAAACCATCGTTATAAATTCATGGTGAATTTACCACGATGGGCTAACTAACTTGACCTCATGCTCAAGATGAGATCATCCTCTACTGTTGCCCCGCCAGTGTAAACCGTTAGCGTAGGCGGGTGCACCATTCCTTTATCATCGATAAGAAAAATAATCTATACATGTAAATAAAATTGGAGTGTCTGTTTGTAATTTTTGTCTGTCTGTCTATCTGTTTGTTTGTTCCGGCTAATCTCTGAAATGGCTGTACCGATTTTGACGGAACTTTTTTTGGCAGGTAGCTGATGTAATAAGGACAAACTTAGGCTCTATTTTAGAAAAATAAAGTGAAGTCGCGTGTACAGCTAGTATACATATACGAATGAGTAGTGTAAGTCCGGTAATATATGTGTGTGAATATTAAACATTTAATATACCTCTTCAAGCTGCCGCCCAATGGTACACTCGGTGATGTTGAGGGCATCAGTGATGTTTTTGCTGATGTTGGGGAACTCCTGCCGGTAGTAGTCGTGGGTGGAGTTCAGTTGGAACCCGCCGATGTGGTGCAGCGCCAGAATCTTTATTTGCCTGTACACAACACGCAATAGTGTTCTTATTGGTGAACGAAGAACACGAAATCTCATTTTAAAATGATCTGATGATCAGTGCTATATTCTGAATTATTTAGGTAGGTCTTTCTATTCCGTCACTTATATCAGCTAATTTTCAATAATAATAATCGCAGGACAATTCACACAGCGCCATCTAGTCACAAGTTAAGCTAGCTAAAGCTTATGTTACGGGTACTAGATAACTGATACAAGTACATAGATATTTTTTTTTCGTAAATACATACATATTATAGGTAGAAAACACGCGGACCGACACAAACAATCATACTCATGAATACAAATGTTTGTGCCGTGCGAGGAATCGCACCCGCGACCATTGGACGTAAAGCGGTGTGCTAGACCGCTAGACTACCGAGGTCGTCAAAATTCAATAAATTCAACATTTCATTTACATTCTCATTCACACTTATTTCCAATTATGGTAGATTCAATTATACTAATATTTGTAGTTATTACTATGATAATTTGATTGAGTATTGGATAGGTCCTTTTTATGTACTCGTATTTATAACAAAATGTGTTCACGTAATTCTATTAGTTATCTAATGTACATAGTACAAGCTTTGTTTAGTTTAGGATTATATGGCGCTCGATGAAGGGTCCGAGATTATTATTATTGGAAATGAACATAAAAAAGACTTACTTAGTGATGCAGGCTTCGGTCATAGTGAAAGCTTTGAAGCCGAGGATGCTGAAGATGACCACGGATGCGTAGATAGCAGTGAGGGCGTTACAAACGGACACCAGGAGCACGTCTCTCACGCAATTGTTGTTCGGTGGATTGTAAGAACCGAACGCAATGAGAGATCCGAACGCAAGTCCGAAGGAGTAGAACACTTGAGTAGCCGCGTCCAACCATACTGTTGGTTGCAGTAGTTTCTCCAGCTGAAATTATAATTGCAAATTAAATTACATTTTGATTTTCGGACTCATATAATGCTGTTGGCATCAGCTGGCCTTTACAGCTTTACTGGACGATAGGGGACGAGTGCAAATGGCACTCCAACCCGCGGAAGGAATTGTAGAGCGGGCGAAGGCCAACTCTCGCCTAACAGATTAGACCGAGGACACCGCTAGGGGTTTCAACCACGACTCAGGTCAACGTAATTTCAATCCCCATTTAGATTATCGTTTGATTTTTATTTTATTATTTTTGTACTTGGACGAGGGATCGATCGGAGGGTAAACAACTACATATAATATATACGACGACTGGGTCATCCGCTGGCCCTTATGGGCCGCCGGGTGCGGGCCTCGAGCCTACGCTCTTTACCCGGGCGTACTGCTGGGGTGTGCCACCCAAGCGTCGTTCGTTTACCGGCCGGCCTGCTGCTTCCCAGCAGCCGGCTACCTTTCCTTCCTTCCGGCTGTGGGCGTCGAGTGGTGGGACTCAATTAGTTGCTCGCCGAGCCGGCTTAACGCCACCACGTCACGTAAGTGACGTGATCACTCGGTGGAGAGTAGGTAGCGCGGGAACGTGCGAGGGGCGTCCGGTGGGCGCGCAAGTGCGCTTTGCGTTCGCTGTCCGCGCCCGTCAACCGGACGAAAACATATATACGGTCAGTCATAAAGGGTATGATATATGTATACCATGCCAAAAGCCAGGTACAGCACTCGTGAGACTGAAATACTTTCATGAAGAAACAAATGTGAGTTAGTGTCATGATGTCCAGACAAACGGTAGAGTGCTGTAATGGGGCATTGGGCTCCCTAAAAGATGGTTGAGCGCAACGATGCCTGACTCGCTAGTTATAATCGCGAACGGCTGCTCTTTGTAGGGTCTGGTCTGCTCTGATGATTATGACTGATTTATTTTGTAACTCGAGTAACTATTAATTTACTCATCAACTTTACTATTTGGTAGTTTGTATTCACACTACGAGTAGATCTTAAAAATGTAGTGCTGATAACGTTTATTTAAAAGAGCAATACGCAAGTTTCCTCCTCATTCTTCTTGTGATGAGTCTGCTTTATACAATAAAAGTAAACGAAAAGGCGGAGAGATAGCAAATTAATTATTGTGTATCAGTTCGTGTCACTCGGGAAACAATATTTGAACTCTGACTTCTTAATTCGTAGTCGCTTAGCTGTTTATAATGAAATAGACCTCGGTCATTGCTCACTACATTGACCTTATTAATTATAGTAATGTGGCATAGGAGATGCCCTAATGTTATTGATGGCACTGAATACATTGTAATCAAATAGAATTTTATTATATACACAAATTTCTTTTACTTTATAAAGATACTATTTACTCGCCCTGGCTTCGACCGGGTATACATGTATTATACACATAAATCTTCCTCTATTTAAAAAAAAAACCGCTTCAAAATGCGTTGCGTAGTTTTAAAGATTTAAACATATGTACATGGGACGGACAGACAGCTACAGCGACTTTGTTCTATAATATGTAATGATGTACTACATTATGTCAATACTAATATAATAAAGAGGAAAGTATAAACTAAAAAATAACTGGACAGATTTAAAAAATTCGTTCAGCATTCGATACAAATTACTAATTTACAATTTTTTATTAAAAAGTACATTTTGAGGCGAAGAAAGTCAAATCAATTAAGAAAACATGGGTTATATTATCGAAGTTTTATAATGGATCCCCATTTTTTTTAGTAATGAGTATAGCAATCTTGATTATTATTATTTTCCACTTACTTGGAATGCAGACTGATCACAAAAAGAATGAGCAATAAACTTGCCTGTAGCTCTTTTAAATAAATGTTGTTCCGAATTATATATTTAAGAATTTTGTATGGATAGATACTGGTAAATAGTAAAATAAATATAAATAAATAAATAGTTACTTGTATAACAAAATAAATCAGTTTTAGTTATCAGAACAGACCAATATCTACAAGCAGTTGTGAATTATCCAGGGGTTATATTCTTATTATTATTTCATGAGAATTCGAGAAATATAGTGAGGAAGGAAGGAACCAGGCAGGCAAATGATTTTTATATCATTATTACATTATTTGTTGTTATTGTTTTTGACGACCTCGGTGGTCTGGCGGTCAAGCACGCCGCTTTACTGACCGATGGTCGCGGGTTCGATTCCTAGCACGGCACAAACATTTGTATTCATGAGTATGATTGTTTGTATCGGTCTGGGTGTTTTCTATGTATAATATGTATGTATTTACAAAAAAAAGATCTATGTATATGTGTTAGTTATCTAGTACCCATAACACAAGCTCTAGCTAGCTTAACTTGGGTCTAGATGGCTCTGTGTGAATTGTCCTGAGATTATTATTATTTCTAAATTAAAAAAAATCTCATCTCTTATTATTATTATTATTTATTTATTTATTTTTCCTCAGCTTTTGCTGGTTTTCTCCACACTTACGGGCCGAAACCAAGTAAGTGCAGAGTGTGTGTGCGCGTGCATGTTTGTGTGAGTGTGTGTGTACTTATTGTGTGCCTGGCGTGACTATTATTATTATTATTTATATTGTCAACCGAGTCAAAACACGAATAATTTTATGCGAAATAAAGGTAACTTAGTCAGCTTGTGACCACGGCTAGTAGAACTTAACAAACAAAAGTTTATGTACAATAAATATATAATAATATAAGTGTATATATTTGTTAATGTTTTTGTTTAACTTTGTTAACGTATTTACAGTCTTGTGCCAACTTTATTTCAGTAATACTCTCTTTCCTAAGTTTGTCTGTAAGAGATTGCGTTACCAATAAGACCGCCATCTGTACCTTCTTCTTTCTTATATTTTACAATGTATCTGCTTTTGGTGTTGGTGCATTATAATCCTTTGTAGATTATAAATAAAATAAAGTTTAAATTAACGATTTAAATTACTTACTTTCGGTTTATACATATGGAGTACTCCATCGGCAGATCCCGGTAAAGTGATGCCGCGTATGAAAAATATTGTTAACACGACGTAAGGGAACAGCGATGTGAAGTATACCACCTGAAAAACAAATATAAGATATATTTTATCAAATACTAGCTACTAGCCCCGGCTTCACCTGGGTGTACATGTATTGTATATATAAACCTTCCTCTAGACTCACTTCCACACCGCTTCTAAATCCGTTGCGTAGTTTTAAAGATGTAAGCATACATATGGACGGACAGACAGCGACAGCGACTTTATTTTATACTATGTAATGAAGGTGTTATTTTGCGGAAGTACATTTCACTATTTAATGCATTTACATTATTTTCTTTAATTCCGCTACAATTAGCATGTTTAATACCACAAATATTCAGTGCGGAAACTTGACTACCGTTACGACCTTCTCTAATGGTGATCAAATTCCGACCGCTATTGTGACTACACCCATATTGCGATACGTGTTTCGCCTCTGAACGAGGCATCATCAATCATTCAATAAAGTTCGGATATAGTTTAGAAGTCTAGTGTTGACTGTTGCGCAACTAAACCGCGATTAACTCAAGAGTTAGAACAATTTATTTAAAATTTCTCGTTCAATCTAAATTATACTTTATAGTACTCTTAGGCCCCCTTCTCAGGACCATCAAGTTACATCTAAATAATAATTTGTCGACAGATAATTCATCTCCACACGCTGAAACCTAAGTGGACAGCGCGGGGGGAGCTTCCTCTCGTGCACTTAGATTGTGGACTGAACAAACTGCCGAGGTTTCCTCGAGAGACTATTGCATAGGGTTTTTCATGAATGGTATATTAAGATTTCTTAAAGGTCGGCAACGCACATGTCACCCCTGGTGTTTCAGGCATCCATAGGCTACGGTAACCATTTGTCATCAGATGGGCCGTATGCTTGTTTACCACCATTGTGGTATAAAAAAACCGAGCCAAATCTTCCTTAAAAAGTTCACGTATTCCCAAAATTAAGAAGAAATGAAACAACACGTATACGTTTAGTAGACACTTGTTTATTCCCTTCCTCATACTTCAAGCGTCCATAGGATTGCCGAACCGTTTACCATCAGATGGGGCCGTATGCTTGTTCACTACCAACGTAGTATAAAAAATATTAAATACTTGTAATATAAGTACGTACGGTAACAATAAAAAACTGCCAATAAAATATATTACAATCTCAAAACTGTAAGAAAACACATTCAAAAATTAATACATATAAATACGTAAATTAATTTATAAAAACGTACAAAGAGTTTGCAACAACTAACCTTGCCACTGCTCTGGATGCCCTTCATGACAATAAAGAAGACGATAATCCAAGCCAGCAATAGGTACAGCACTATCCACCACCGAGGTACGCCGGGTTCATCAATACTGGGCGCCGCATCTAGGGCTTCTCGGTACCAAAAGTAAACTGTAGCCGAGGCCTTGGTACATTCCACTTCAGCTGTGCTGTTGTCTTGGGGACAGTGTGCCCAGGGCAGCTGGTCAGCTGTTAACTGTTGAGGAGAATAAATATTACGTACAATTAGAGGATTAATGTTGTCAGTACATTAATCCTATTGGATTGGATAATAACATTAAATTATAATGAAACTAAGTTACTCTTGCATTATTATCATTACTGTTAAAACTGTTGTGCAAGATTACACACAGACACACCCACACACACACATGTCTAAATATTAGTATAATGTATGCATTTTAAAATTGAATTATATAACCAAACTAACCGCGTGGAATTTAACTTAATTTTACTAAAATAAAAGTAGCCTAAAGAACTAAAATTTATTTTGTTCGTCTTAATTTATTCATTCCATTAGGTACTGATAGGTTCAAACTAATACATTTACATCCTGCATCATCCCTTATTTTATCCCCATGGGGGTTGAATTTATCAAAAGCCTATTTAAGCGAACGTCTTCATCATAGCAGCTCCAATCTTTAATTTCAGTTCAATCAGTAGAAAATCTAAACAAACTTTTATCCCCTATTTTATTTTACCCCCTTAAGGGTAAAATTTTTACAGACTTTGAATAACATATTTATTTATATTCAGTCATCAACCTTTCATCTCCCCTTTCGACCCCTTACAACCCTTTGTCCTGTTACAGCCCTTACAAGCCCTATGTCCTTTCTCAGGGGTCCTTTCTCTATGACAAGTAGATAAAATGTGTATTTTATTATAATGATGACATATTAGAACATTATTTCATTTGTTAAGTTTTAAATGTTTTTTTTTAATTTATAACATTTCAGACAAGGAAACTACTTTATAAATTATTAGCTAGTAGCCCGGCTTCGCCCAGGTATACATGTACTATACATATTAACCTTCCTCTTGAATCACTCTAATTCGCAAAGCGCCCGGAGCGGACGGGATCAGCACCGCAGCGCTCGCACAGCTGCCCCGTAGAGCCCTAGCGTGTCTAGCGAGGCTCTACAACGGCATACTCCGGACCGGCCACTTCCCTACCAACTGGAAGTTGGGTAGAGTCATAGTCCTCCCGAAACCCGGCAAGGACAAGCGCCTGCCGGCAAGCTACCGGCCCATCACTCTGCTCTCGCACGTAGCAAAGTCGTTCGAGCGCCTCCTGCTCCGCCGCCTGAGACCGACTCTGTCGCCTCGCGACGAGCAGTTCGGTTTCAGAGGCGGACACTCGACGACTTTGCAGCTGACGTGCGTGCTCCACCATATGGCTGTCGAGCACAACCGCGGCCACTACACGGTCGGCGTATTTCTCGATATAGAGAAGGCGTTCGACCGTGTGTGGCACGACGGTTTGGTGTCGAAGTTGCTCGACACCAACACGCCGTCAGCATACGTGCGAGTAGTGGACTCGTTCCTCTCGGGCCGGAGCTTCTATGTTTCGGTCGAGAACTGTGATTCTACCACACGCCCGATTGCCGCCGGAGTCCCGCAGGGCAGCTGCATTTCGCCAGCGCTCTACGCGACGTACACAGACGACATCCCCACCTTGAGGGATGAGCTCCGAGAGGGAGAGAGGGATGTCGTCCTCGCTCTTTTCGCCGACGACAGTGCCTTTCTTACGTCGTCTCGCCGAGCCTACGCAGCCGCTCGCAAAATGCAGCGGCTGTTGGACCTGCTCCCCGAGTGGCTGGATAAGTGGCGTACCACCGTTAACGTGGGTAAAACGGTGGCGCTGCTTACCCGCCCCGGGTGCAAATGCCCGCCGCCCCTCTTACTGAGAGGCCAGCCCATCCAGTGGGAGCGCACAGTGCGTTACCTAGGGGTGGAAATCGACCGGTCGCTGCGTATGACGCCGCAGGTGGACCGGGCTGTTACCCAAGCCAAGGCTGCGCGCGCTATGCTGCGACCGGTCTTGCAATCCAGGCTGCAGCTGCGGACGAAAGTAGGCATTTATAAGACCTACATTCGTTCGCGGCTCACATATGCCGCCCCCGCATGGTACGCACTGTGCTCGGCCTCACAGCGGCGGAGACTGCAGGTCCAACAGAACGCCGCCCTCCGTCTGTGCACAAATGCCGGACGGTACGTCCGTAATGACGTGATCGCCCGCGACCTCAAGGTCCCATCGGTGGAGCAGTTCGTCGTCCGGTTGACGCGCGCGATGTTCTCGCGCGCGGACAGCGGGCGCGAAGCGTACCTGCGCGACCTCGCCCCTCTCCACGCGCGCCCACCGGACGCCACTCGCGCGCTCCCGCTCGACTTACTCTCCACCGAGTGATCACGTCATTTACGTGACGTGGCGGCGTTAAGCCGGCTCGGCGAGCGACTTATAGAGTCCTCTTACACGACTCCCTCAGCCGGCTGCTGGGAAGCAGCCGGCTTCCGGCCGGCCGGCAGGCCGGCCGGTAAACGAACGACGCTGGGGTGGTATACCCCAGCAGTATGCCCGGGTAAAGAGCGTAAGCTCGGGGCCCGTACCCAGCGGTCCATATAAAGGACCAGCGGACGACCCCATAATAATCACTCTATCTACTAAAAAAACCGCTACAATATCCGTTGCGTAGTTTTTAAGATTTAAACATTTAAACAGGCACGGACAGACAATGACAGCGACTTTGTTTTATCCTATGTAATGAGTAATCATTAGAATTAAAAAAAATACGTAAAAATGAATTACAGTACCCAGTAATTTCAGACACATTTTACAATATATATATATATAACTCACAAGGAAACTGCTTTATAAATTATTAAGTGAGACGTACTTTGATGTACAATAACTTTCACTTTCCTTCTAATAATATTTCCAACGGCTAATGGTAAAGTTTCGTTCCCATTTCATAGGGTTATAATGTCAACCTAATCGTTATTTTCTGAGGCATTTAAAAAGTATAAACGACTAGTAGCAGTTACTCCCTTGTGTGAACATTATAAAATTATATTATAATACCAGCTGTACCTGCGACTTCGTCCGCGTGGAATATAACATTATTTTTCTAAAATAAAAGTAGCCTAAGTTACTCCTTATTACATCTGTTACTTGCCAATAAAAGTCCCGTCAAAATCGTTCCAGCCATTCCCCGGCTAATCGCCGGGACAAACAGACTGACATACAGACAAAAATTGTAAAAAATTTAATTTTGGTGTATGTACTGTATTTATATTCATATGCATGTAGTAAAAAATACATATTATACATAAACACTCATATCGATACAAACAATCATACTCGTAAATACAAATGTTTGTACCGTGCGAGAAATCAAACCCGCGACCGTCGGACGTAATGCTAAACCGCTAGACCACCGAGGTCGTCAGTATATGAACTAATACATGATATTTATGTTGATAATCATAAAAACAAATAAATTATATAATAAATGTATTTTAATACCAGTGATGTGAGGGAGCTCCGTAACCGTAACCGAATCCGAAATAAATGTGTCGGATAATAATGGATAGTGGCGGAGCCTAATTTAAAACTAATTTCAAAACTAAAATACAAATGTTCACATGACGTGTCTCACGTTATGTAACCATTTGTATTTTACTTTTTAAATTTTCTAAAAAATTAATATAACCGTAACCGAAATTATCCGAAACTAACGGATAATCCGAAATAATTTCATATCCGCATCCGTATCCGTATCCGGTATAACAATCATTCGTATATCCGAAACCTATCCGTATCCGAAATTTCATATCCATAATCTGGTTAATACATACCCGGATGCTGTTGAACAGGTAGAAGAAGACCCAGGTGATAATAACATTGTAGTATAACGCCACGAAGAGAGTAACGACACAGCTTGATATACCGATACCACCCAACCACGGGTGGATGGTGTTCCATACTCCCAGACAGCCAAGCCTCATCTTCTGACCAATCGCCATCTCGATCAGGAACAGCGGAATGCCTTCAAGTACCAGCATTATGAGAAACGGTATCAGGAATGCGCCTGTACAACAATTATTGCATTCATTATTATTTTGTAACTTTTCCCCTTGACTTTGATTTCATTATTGATGAGTTTGTTAACCTATATAAAATACTAAAAAAAAATCAATAAAAGTAATTAATTTTAATTATTAGGTTTTCGAACTAATCTTAAAAAGTGAACTGTGAAATAGTGGTTAAAAAATATATATTTTTAAACTTTTTTTTTATTTTAGTCTTTAGTTATATTATCTATATATCTTAAAAAGAATAGTTCACCTTTCTCAAAAAATAACAACAGTGGTCATACACACAACGCCATCTAGTCCCAAGCTAAGCAGAGCTTATGGTTTATATATAGTAGATTTATACCCCCTTCCAATAGAACTTTCAGAAAAGGTAAACAAACATTTTATGGTCAACAATATCACATAAGCACTTACTTATAGAAATGCCTACACACGGTGTTGCTTGCCAGTTTACTTGAAACTCGGCTTGACACGCTACCGCGTGTCTAGATATATTGTAAATAAACTAGCTTTAAAAACAAAAGTAATTCAATTGAGTTTCTTGCCATTTCTTCTCGATTGGATCTATATACCGAATTGGGCGGTAGGGGAAAAAATATAATGTTAAAACATGGCTAAAAAATGTCTTACATGAATAAATTATTTTTGAATTTTGAATTTTGTATTTTACTTACTCATTTATGCGACTCCTGAGAGAAGTATATCACCACTTTTAGTAACAATATTTATTTATTTATTTATTATTTTATTAATAAGGTTTTGGATTGGAGCACTTCTTATAGACGAATTCTTTAGAAGTGGCTAGTGTTACGATAATTTAAAAATTGAAATAAAAATTCGGTTATAAATAAGTCAATATACTGACTTGGTTTTACCATATATTTACCCGGCTGCAAATAAAGGGAGAAAGAGTTTGTATCTATATAAAATTACTGGATAAGAGGCATGGCATCTTAGTCATCTGGATTAGCAACGCATATCATGGGAGTCACGTGATCTTGTGATACCCGTTGCTGTTCATGTATATATACATAAAATAAATATATTAAGTAAGTATGTATGCATGTGGGGATTGATTTTAATGAATGTAATACCATTAGCAGAGACTATAAAGTATATAACGACAGTATAAAATAAATATGGCGGTCATAAACTGACAAATTGCAACATTTAACGGTTGAGATTTTTAATGACACGTCTACATGGTACGTACAAAGTTATAATAAACTTCTTCTTTTTTTCCTTTTGTATATAAAAATGGAATAACGTTTAACGTTTTAACGTGACGTTAGTCTTGCTAAAACTCGAGAACGACCGGACCGTATTGGCTAATTTTGAAAAAAATGTAGATGTCCAAGGAAGATGAGAAAATATGAAATAAATGCATGGAAAATAGTGAAAAACAACAGTTTTATATTCCCGTACAAACTGTTCGTACCTGTATAATACATAACTGTCCATTCAGAAATTTATTTCGTATCTAAATTTTTAAATGCCTTTAACATATTACTTAATTCTGAAGCGGAACAGAGTTCTAGTGTTCAGAGAGTTCTAAATGTTTAAGTTTTCTATTCTTTTCAGTATCCTGTTCAATTTTTTTATTCTTTTAATTTCATAATAATTATCTACAATTTAGAAGTCATCTGTAGTGCTGTTCATGTATACCACTTACCTTCAGGTGTCACGTAAATTAGTTTGACATTCTAATTATATAAAAATAAGTATATTCATATACATTACATAAATTCTGTTTATGTACGCAACTGAAACTAAAACCTATTGATTTATTATACATGCTACGTCAATTGCTACGAGCAGACGAGTCTACGACGTAGGTGATGCTACGAAACAGTTCGGCTCGATATCTAGTACCCAAATTAGACCTTGTATATTATATATACTTTTTAATTTCGAGTACGTTTGTGCCCGAGAGAGAAAGCTTCTAGCTTTGGTGTTCCCGAGGAAATACAACTCCAGATTATTCATATATATGGTGAATAGATTTCTTCTTGGTAAGCGCGCTACATACTAGGTTTTACTATTATTTACTATCAGATGAGGTAAGACCAAGCGAAAACACATTTATAGTAAAAAGTATCTTCTTATATTTAAATTCTCGTGTCACAATGTTAGTTACCAAACGATTTAACCGAAACGGATTTACCTTATTTATTCAATTTTATATGCATATAGGTAGGTTTGAGAAGCAGCCAACATCAATTTTTCATACCCCTCAATGATACACTTAACACCCCTAAATATATTTAATTGACAAAATTTTATTTTATTTTGATTCAACATTGAAAAATACATACAATTTTAAATTTTCACCCTTGTACTAAACCATTGTTTTTTTTATAGCGATACTACTTACTTGGTTATACTTGCTGGATTGTACATATAATATTTTTATAGACATTAATATTACAACATACATGAAATGAATGACAAATGTATATTTGTTTTAAAAACAATTCAATTTCTACAGTAGTCTTTGGTAAGCATAGAAATGCCTGTATTAAGTACATCCCGCTCAACCATATCAATTACTATATGCGTTTTTAAAAAGAAAAAAAATTATATCCTACGAAACAACAAAAAGCTATTAATCTGAGAATACACACGGTTTTGAAGATATGATGTAACATAGATACTGAAGGTATTATCTTTTTTGTTACACAATCTGGGGTTAAAAATCATATTATAGTTCAAAGGTCAAAGCCATCGTCGCTATGTACAATGGAGTGGATCAATATGGTCCTAACCAAACATTGGTACGGACTGTTTACCATTCTATGAAAGATTTTATATTCTACCATCAAACGGGATATTACGTCTTCAACTGATTTCTCAAATATTGTGATTTCCACTGTTGAATATTATTTGTCGGTCTCGGTAGTCTAGCGGATTAGCTCCTTGCTTCCAACAGTCGCGGGTTCGATTCCTCGCACGTTTATTTATCAGTATGATTGTTTTTTCTATGTATATTATGCATCTATTAAAAAAAAAAAGTATTTATATCAGTTGTCTAGTACCTATAAAACAGGCTCTGCTTACCGTGGGACTATATGGCGCCATGTTAATTGTTCAGGAATATTTATTTATTAACTTTGTAGAAATTAATACTAATTAATTAAAATATATAATTATGCATTTAAAGAGAATTTAAATATTCTCCATCTATGCAAAATTTTCTATAAAAAAAATTACTTACCACCACCGTTTTGCTGGCATAGGTAAGGAAATCTCCATATATTGCCCAATCCCACAGAGTAGCCAATGATGGAGAGAAAGAATTGCAGTTTCCCAGACCAAGCCGCGCGGTCCTCTCCGGGCGCGTCTCTCTGCAAGGATCCTCTAGACCCTTGCAACACTATGGTCACACCATGAGGTCTCTCGCTACCGTCTGCCCTTGTGTTCAACGGAGCCAACTCATGCCCATTCCGGGGTCCAACCGGTTCTGCTTTCGCCGCCATTTTGAAATTGGTTTCAAAACAATTCGAAATAAATTCTTATTCCTCTTGATACGGTTGTTTTAACGTTAATAATTGGGTATTTAATTGTTTTCTACCTAAATTATTAATTTATTGTCTATTGTCTATTATATTAAATCAAATAAATTTCAATTTAACGAGATTTTTCGAATGATAATTGTTACCTATGAATATGTTCATAATATTTTATACTAGGTTTGGTGTATTTCGTAATCATACGTGAAATATCGTATCGCGTCTTTTTTTACGAATTCTATCACTTTGAAATACGTAGTCGTCCTTTTTAATAATTTTTGGCGTAATTTTAGTGAATCCCTGAATACGTTTGATCCGTCTCTGTGCATATGAGTGGGTTGATGATACTTCGTCTAAATGAATGGCATTTTAAATATGCTGTTTGAAATTAATCCAACCGTTTATTTCATTACACATGATCCAGAAGTGTGTTCATTTTTTATGCCCAGTTTTCTCTCTGTAACAAAAGAAAAAATAATTATTAATAAATTATAATAATAAAACTTTATTAATATACCTAACTTGATATTGTGTAATTATTTATATAAAAAAAACATCTATTCACAAGAGCAACACACAAGTTCTTGCTCATTTTTCTTGTGATGAATCTGCATTCCGAATGAGTGGTAGAATCAAAAATATGACTATTCAAAAGTGCTTGAAATGACTTTATTTGAATATAGATTATGTCCATTTCTATTTTTATAATATTACATTTATGAGAAGTCACAGGCACTACTGGAGATTAGCTAGTTTTATATTAAGTTTATTTTTGAATAAATTTAGATCCAGTTCAAGTTACTTGCTGATGTAATTGAAGAAAAAAATGTTAAAGGGCAGTAAAAACCGAAAAAAAAGATATGTGCCCTTTAGGCAGTAAAAACCGTAATTAGGTAGTTTGTAGTACATTAGAAGCAAACAATCAAATCTTTTCTTCTGTATTGTATTAATTTAGATAGAGCCACAGAATTTTCATTGAAAATTGTACTAAAATGCAAGTCAGCTGAAGCTATCAATCGATATCAAAACGCTCATTTGTGCCAAAACCTTATATGGAGCCGCGTCTCATTGAAAGTTTTGGCAAATTGTCAAGAGAAAGTGCAGTTCATTTCTCTACTGGCAATGAAAAGATATTGTTATTTATTTATTAAATTTTAATACACTAATACACATTATTATTTTATTCTATATATAATTTTTTGTGGATGATATTTGAATGATGTACCTGCAATAACGGTTTACCCTCCCGGGGCACCAGGATGATAAGATGAGCATAAGGTCAGGTCAGTTTACCCATCGTGATTAATTAACCAGGAATTAACCACCATGGTTTCCAGGGGGAAGCGGGTGGACGTCGACCTAACAGTACACTGTTAGCAGTGGAGACACTAGACCCTATTACTAATAACCCCTTTTTCCCTTTCTATGTATATTTCGTATGTATTTACAAAAAAAAATATGTAAGTATTTATTTTTATTTATATACTCTTTATTGTATCAGGAAAATTACATTAATAAAATTAATAGTTTAATTAAAATTAGGAGGGTACAATAGGCGGTCTTATCACTTATGCAATCTCTTTCTCCTCTTTGGGTAGAAGAGAAAAGACAAAAAGTGGGAGGTGGCACTAGAATAGAAGAGTCTAGTAAATATCAGTTGTCTAGTACCCATAACACAAGCTCTGCTTACCGTGGGTCTAGATCGCTTTGTATTAATTGTCCAGGGTTATTTATTTATATAAAAATGCACATAGCGGAATTAACGCGAAGAGACAACTTCTCGAAGCTCTTAACAATAAGTCAACCATTGGGAGATTCATGTGGGTGGTGAATTTTGCATAAAAGATGATGAAACTTCACAGTAATTTAGCTTATATATCAGGATAACATATAGGCAATAAATTGCTCGCGGATGAAACCACGGGCACAGCTAGTTCATAATAAGTTTATAATAATAATATTGATAATACCTTAAAGTGTGAATGGAGTCCTAAGAACAAATATATGCTTGGCTGATATTCTTCCGTCCTTTCTACGAGATAAACAATATCTACCTTATATTTCATAATAAAAAAACACATAAAATTAAGAGGAAAATCACAGAGAGTGCATTAAAGTTATAGTGATATAAACGTAATGATTACACGCTTTCTAAAAGACCATTACTCAAAACCCAGTTCGGTAGCCGGCAGCCGACACCCCATGGCACGTAAGTATGTCAAGGCCGAGGGGCCCATTGTGCCTCACCCTCCTGCCTTAAGGGGATATTGGATTATGAGAAAGATTTATATGTATAAGCAATGAAATTTCGCATCACTCAGTTTTGAATACATCTTGCAAAAGTATGCTACTCATATAGGTACCTAATTATAAATGTGAAAGACTCTTTTTGAGGAAAGAATAAATTAAAAAATAATTAATCGATATTAAAAGTTGTCTGTGAGAGATTGCTTTAAGCGATAAGGCCGCCTTTTGATTGCATATTTGTTATTGTTCTTTTTTGTAATTATTTGTTTTTAATATATTTTATATCTTTTTTGTAATTATTTATTTATTTCAATAATATAATAATAAAAAATATATTTTTTTTATTATTATTAAAATTACAATCCTACTTTATTAGCAAATAACACGGGCCATATTTCATTGTTAAAATATTTAGTAATATTCTAAAAATGTGTTGTAAAATAATAAATAATTGATTAAATATTTTAATGGTAATAGTAGAGATAGTATGTTATTACATAAATTTTGTTATAAATTTGCATTAGAGAATAGAAAAATAAACTTTAATTATATTGATACTACCTGCTCGTCCCGGCTTTGCGTGGTTGTACATTACACATATAAACCTTCCTCTTGAAACACTTTATCTATTGCTGTAAACTGTATCAAAATACGTTGATTAGTTTAAAAGATCTAAGCGAACAGACAGCGGAAGCGAAATAATTTTATACTATTTAATGATTAAATGAGTGAACAATAATACAAACAATGGTTCCTAAATTTCAGCGTTAAAATTTAACGAAATAAATAATAATAAACCTCCTAATACTAAACTTAACGTCTACATTAAAAACACTCTATAATTTTTTTAGGTCAAAAAGTCACTATTAACTAATAACTCTTAAGATTTCGCAAACCAGTGATTTCGCAGGTTTTCTTTTAGATAAAATATAGCTTATTTATATTATGATAATTCAATCTCTCCCCACATTAAATTTATATGATCTATTTTGTCATTTAGTCGTGAAAAGGGAACAAACATGCAGACAGACTGATAAACACATTTTCGTGTATGAACGATATTATAAAATACAGTGTACATATTTTATTCTTAATGCATACTTCGCAAGTCATTAAATATATTAACGGTAAATTTTGTGAACGAAAATTGGCAACACTGAAAGCTTGTCAAACTTTATTTTGTAAGTACTTATGCGCGGGAATAAATCTGTTTTTTTATGATGAAAATATATGTATTATATGATATATATGTTTATTTATATTCGTATGTAATTACTTTTGTATTAGATTATACCATTTGTTATTTGTATTTTATTTAGTAGTGTTTAACATTTTTTTTGCACCAGTTATTACCCACTCTCCATTATTACACAAGAGATCTCTTCTAGGGATAAGTCCACCTTTGCTCACATTATCTCTAAATTATAATATCAATGTATTATTTATGCAATAAAGAATATTTATAAAATCGAACGTTTCAATTATATTTGTTAGGTATATTTAACCTAAAATGTAAATAATATGAGAGGCGAAATAATTTGTTTTAGTGGTACTCGCGATTTCGTTAAATACAGGGAGTATTGTGTTTTATATAAATAGAGGATCTATTTAAAAAAAATATCCTTTAAATACTCTCTGTATTAGGATGACTTTGAATATTATAAATATTTATATTTAATCAACAGCCTAAAAAAAATTTTCAAGCTTCTAGCTTTAAATATTAAAATACTTCCATACAACCTTTTATGTCCCCTTTCAACTCCTTACAACCATTTTTCGCATTAAAAAATAGCCTACGTTCTTTCTCAGGGTCTAGACTTTCTGTGTACCAAATTTCATTTAAATTAGTTAAGTCATTTTAGCGTCAAAATGCGACAGACTGGCAGACATAAAGACAAAGTTACTTTCGCATTTATAATACTAGTAAGAATAGCAAAAAGAAATATTCCCTAATCACAGCTAATCCCAAGGTAAGCAGAGCTTGTATTCATGATACTAGACTACTGATGTAGACAATTTTTCTGTAAATACAAACATATTATTCATAGAAAACGCCTTAACATGCCTATACTAGGTCAATCTTACTTTACTTACCTCGCAACTTTTCTACAACTGGCGCAACTTTCAATATTCCTAGTATGTACAAATTCCTTATTCTGCCATTCCTGGTTACCCCACACATCCATTTCAAGATTCAACATTCACAAATTAACTATAATATTAAGCTATAATAAATATACAATAACATTATACCTATGTTATGAAACAAACAATCATACTCATGAATACAAATGTTTGTATCGTGAGAGGAATCGAACCTGCGACGATCAGAAATAGAGCGGTGTACTAAACCGCTAGATCACCGCGGCCGTCAAATTAGTAAGGATTATATAACCATAGCATGTGGTCAACATTTAGTATCTATACATACATTCGGTTTCAATCAGCGACGTATACTTATACAATATCAATATAATACGAACAATGAACCGTTTGTGTGGATGATATATTGATTTGCCTGTCCCACTGACCTTTCTATACATTGAGATGGTACAGGTAGGGTTGCCAGCTTTTTTTTGCATTTAAAGTACATTCGTTATTATAGGTAAGAAAAAAAGTACACGGTATCAAAATAAAGTACAATTTATTTTTCTTTATTACTATATTTAAACACACATATGTTTTATTGCTTTTTGCAGTTTGTATCAAATTAGTATCTCAACTAAATAA